GACTGGTTGCTATTTGACGAAAGACAACAAAGTTCCGGCCTGTACAAGCGACGGCCCGGAAATGTCACCATCCCCCAACCTTGAACTACACGTAGCGGCGGGATCATCGGCATTGCTGGGATCTGAATGGCTGAGCAGTACCTGGCAGCGCAGCACTCTCATTGTAATCTCAATTCCCCCTCTCTTACCCCAACTGTACGACTGCAACGTCGCCAGTCCACGGGTATGGGATTGGACAATAGGACATGACGTGCATGCATGTATCTTGCACCATCTCTGGCCGTCAAGCTTGAACACATAGGAGAGCAGGGAGAGGGAACTGGTTGATAGTGGCAGACATTGGCTCTTTCACCGCATCTCCATTCGAACCTTGAGCTGTTAGTTCTTCCCCGCTCATGAGCCCCGCGTTTGTCGGCTAACCACCTGTTCGTCCCTTGTCTCCCAAGACGGGCTAAGACGTGGTAGGGTTTTCCATGCGGGGAGTTGCGCCACCTCAAACGGCCCGCATGTCCGGGGCAACCCAGGAACACATCGAAACTTCCGTCCATACGAAGCCCGGTCTATGAAGCTAGAGGACGGCGGGAAAATTGACCAAGGTTGCTGGTCTCTCCGCTGTTATTCTCAGGACCTCAGTGAGACCACCGCACTCCTTTGTCCATGTCTGCGAATTTTCCCGATTCCTTTGGGATCGCCCTCTCTAATCGAGCAGTTGTTGTCGAATTTTGAGACAGCGCCATTGCACGTCACTTCTAAACACACAGGCACACTTCATTTACATGCAGACACACACTTGGAGGTCCGCCAAGAGGTAATATTCCGTAGGTAAATTACGTCACCAGGAGGCAGAGAGCTCATCGGAGACACATGCCCGGTGCAAAGAAGCGGTAAAGGTAGCGCAAGCATCATCCGGAGGGGCTGTAAATGTATGTCAATCATTTAACAATGTCTCATTATGGCGTTCAATGCGTGTATGTACTTGTTGTGTGAGCATAGGGTACGTCTTCCAAATGACCGACCCGAACTTTTGTTATTTACATGAATCTTTTGGCAACCCTCATGCCTGCTTGAGACCCAACAGCTCGGTAAGCTTGAGCATGCTGACGGTAACCTTGTTAGTAGTGCTAGGAGGCAGGACGCCGGCACCCATAATGAGAAGGTAGTCAGGATCCTCTTCCATGATACGCAGGTTACGGGTGTATGCACCGGCCTCAGGAGAATCGTATGCGACCCAAGCGCTCGGGTCGCCGCCGCGGCGGTTGATGAAGAGAGGGGCACTGTTGCTTGACACGACAATAGTACCGTTGCAACCACCGACGGGAGACCAGACAACATTAGGGCTGTTAATGGGGAAGACACCGCCATTGGTGCTGTTGATGTACATGTCGGGGGCATCGGCGAACTTGCGGGGGTCCTTTGCGATACGGTAGTAGATGGGGAACGCGTAGGTCGGGATGATGGGTGCGCCGCCCCATTCAAAGGTGTACATGTAGTCGCCATTGGCGAGCTGTGTGACGAAGGGCATGCCTGGGCGGTCGGTGTATGTTGGGTAGGAGACATCGGTTACGACGGCGGACCAGTTCTTGAGGTCTTTTGTGGTCTGGTGGGAGATCTCCTGGCCGTGCTCGGCCGAGCGCTGGTCGGCGTAGTAAAGGATGAGGTCATCCTCGAAGATGCTACCGTCGGTATTAGCAAATCTAGACTAAGTGCATTGCGGTTCGAGTTGCTCATGACTTACAGAATGAAAGGCTCCCAGACGGGAGTCTCCTCGTTGTTGGGAATGGCACGACCACCGCGGGCGACGTGGGAGAGAAACTCCCAAGTGCGGCCCTTGTCCTGAGAAGCATACAGGTCGATTTGGGTCTCGCTGAGGTCGGTGGGAATGCTGTTACCGGCCAGGAGCACGGTTCCAGCAGGAAAGCCTGCAAAGTCCTCGCGGAGCTCGTACAGGAATGGTTGGTAACGCAAGCCCCAGTTGTTGACCTGGTCGTGAACCTGGCCAACTTCCTCCCACGTGAGGCCACCGTCTAGGGACTCGTAGATGGGGAACCAGACTAGAGGAGGCTCCGGTGAGTAGTTCTCCCAAGTTCCCAGGAGACGACCGTCATTGAGCTGAACTGTGCGAGGGTACAGCACGCGGGGGTCCGTGTAGTTGTCAGGCGGCTGGAATATGAGGTTGCGCTCGAAGGTCTCAAGAGCAGAGGCAAATCCGCAAGTGAGGACGCCTACGGCGGCGATGAGGGCGGACCGGAGCATCATGACGGCTGCTGCTACGACTCGACGATCTCTGCGGGATGCGACGCGTCTGAAGACAGATATGCGAGAATAGGAAGGCAACCTTTGTCGGACCGAGAAGCAAAGCACCTTTTATAAGGTAGCATTGGACATCGCGTCCCTCACTGCTTGACCCATGTGGTTGGTTCCAGAGGAGTAATTGAGCTGGGGCCGATGACCATGGCAAGCTGCACGATGCGACCTTGCCCGAGCCATGAGCTTCCTCTCGGTTACCTCGGCCATGTGGCGACTCCCCATAACCTTCTTAACCCTGGCTCAGCTCCCCCAGACTGGAGAAGCCTGGAGAAACATTATCGTTGGAATTATCGTTGGAAAGCACGGCTTAGATGTCAACGAGGAGGTCCCACGGTGCGAAGCACGAATCGGCCGCTGACTGGGAGTACCGCTGCGCTGCAGTTGTATGCGCTCCAAACAAACAACCGACGGCCGCCGATGATGATTAGAGTCGCGGGACTCGACGACAAGGTTGTGCCGAGATGGAAAGAAAATAAGATTGGGGTTGCGGGAGCCGGGCCAATGTTATCTCGAGCTCCGCCGTACAAACTTGCTCGTTTCCGGTGAACCCCAAGACTTCGAGCTGTGGGGTTCGTGCGGGGGAATGGAGTCAAGTACCGAAGTTGCTCGTGGAAGATGCGCACCAATCATTCCAGCCAATTCCTCGGTAGTGATGCTCGCTCTTGGTCTAGCTGGAGTTGTTTGCCTGTGCCTACATCTGGGCTGTGAAGCCGCTCTCGATGAGGGGAGAGGAGGGGGCTTTGTGGATTGCCAAGTTGGCTGAGCTCGATAATGTCCCGAGACCAGCTTGCTTGGAATGCTTTGTTTCCGTCATTTCCCTACTTTACTTTGCATTGTCACCTCACCGCCCTCAATGCATTCACCTGGAATTGCGATTATCTCAACAACTAACAGGAAGTTGGCGGAGGTTGGAATGACTATCTGAATTCATACAGGGCATCCTTGTGCACCCTCCCTCAGGTTTCCTGCCTTACCTTTATCTCGTGATAAGGTTGTTTTCTATCCATCCTTTCATTTTTTGCGAGACGACTATCCCACTAGTCGCTCATGATACCTGTCTAGAGCTGTCTCACAGACTTCATCTCAATTGCATGGAGTTATCGACATGGCTGAATGGAATTTCTACATCCCTGTAATGACGGCTGCTGTTGTCTCTTGAAACTAATGAATGTCCGTTTGCTGCGAATGAAGATTGTTTTTCATCGTACTTATTCTTACAAGTTTTCGAGCGATGACGGATGGTCTTCCTAGTACTTGTCACCCCTTTGCTACCTTACAAGAAGGAGAGTGTGTCGATGGATCTGCGAATGAGTGTTGTTTATGTACACTCAACTTGGTTTACTCTGGGGAAGCAGAGCCAATGAGCTTAGTAGTGTCAAATTCAATTAAAAGGTGTCAATTGTGTGAACCATAGGGAGTTCGAAAAGGTATCAGGCATTTACAATAGTGTAAAACTTGATTTTTTTGGCTGGAAACTTCGGGCGATCCATATATGCTCGACAAAGTAAACCACCAACTTCTATCCCGTCTCTACTATCACTAGCCGGCTAGGCCCGTCCTACGTTTTGTTTCTACTTTAGGGGTAAAAAGACTTTGATATTGTTCTGAAGGCATTGATACTGTAGCATGAGCTATTTACCTCCACTCATAAGTTGACATGTGACTTTGTTGCGACATTGGATCTAGTTTATGATAGAGGTTTACTCGACGAAAGACTTACAAGGACTTTTCTAAGTGGTTCTTCGCATTGGGCATTGAAGTGCGAAAACCAAAGTCTAGGGTTCTTCACACTAGTACTTACGCCAAACTTACTAATTCTAGCCCCTTATGACTATCTTGACGGAGAAGGAGTCGCCTAAAGTCAGTTCTCATCAAGACACACATTGGCAATCCCGTTACAGGACATTTTGGCTATATAATTTCCCACAAGCGGCTAGCCACCACATTTTCCACGATGCTTAGCACCCGCGTACATCATTCAGAAATTCGGGATGGTTAATCGTGCATTTTCATGCTCAAATGCTTGAGCTGCTCAGCAATGAAAGTCACTGCTACTAAAATCTTCGTAAGATGATGCGTAGATCTATCGGCTCGCGCGGGGTTGTGGTGCTCTTGTGATGTGACAACTCCTAACTTGCCTTCACCTTGGCGTTTGAAGATTGTGAATATTTGATTAGAATGTCAGCCACTTGCATAGATCACGCGATAACAGATTGTTGTACCAGGCAGGTCTGGTCGCGCAAGTTCAGGGTCTTCCGCGTACTTATACGAGATCATACTTCTCTTCACCTGGGCATTGAAGATTGTGGTACCGGACTGTGACACCGTGATGATCTGGAAGTGAGCCAATTCGTAGATACCTAGTGAACGTACGGTGAACTGAGCTGCCTATTGTGTCAAGCATATTCCGCAATTGCCGTGCCTTAGCGGGAATACGAAAACATACCAGGGTCTGATAACATCACGAACAACCTCAAGATGCAATGCGACGTTGCCCTGCATTGGCTCAAATGTTCTCTTACCACGCCGCGGAATCCGCGGTATTAAGGAGGATCAACTTTATATCAGGTAATCGCATGTATATACAAGCCTGTCGTCGGATTTTAGGTAGCCTACCGTCATGAGATCTTGTTCCCAGCACGCTCGCTGAACATCACTCGCTTCTTCGCTGTTGGTGTATTTCTTCTTCCAGAATGCACCGTCCCTTCGTTCTTGCCAGCTTGGCGCTCTTTTTGAGCCAAGCTGCTGCCTTTGAGGGCAATCTCAGAACCAAACCGGAGCTCATTCCGAATGCATTTGTGGTTGAGCTTCGCGATCCAATAAGTCTCGGCCGCCGTTCGGACGAACACACCCACGTGTCATTCAAGCGTGCGCTCTCGTCCTTGACCTCCTTCGATGTGCGATACGAACACACCAATCATGAACTTTTCTATGGCATCTCGATAAACATTCACAACAATGAGTCTCTCGCTGTGTTGAAGTCTCTACCTGAAGTTGTCAACGTCTCCCCAGTCCAGTTCATCCCACGGCCCCTTCTTGCTATCGATTATGAAAGTCGCTCGGAGTCATCCTCTTCGGTGCATACTTCTCGTAAGCTAGCAAAGAGACAGCAGATTCCCGAGAATAACTTGGACTACAACGTCCCTCACACAATGACTGGAGTTGACCGTGTGCACGCTGCTGGCATCAAAGGAAAAGGAGTTAAGATCGCCGTCTTGGACTCTGGTGTCGACTACTATCATCCTGCCCTCGGCGGCTGTTTTGGACCTGGATGCAAGATCTCGTTCGGATATGATCTCGTTGGTGATGGGTACGACGGATACGGTACCCCAGTTGAAGATGCAGATCCTCTGGGTGCGTGTGTTGGGGGTGGACATGGCAGTCACGTCTCAGGTAAGTTGTCAGTTTAACTTTTGATGTTAGGGCCGATCTGACGGCATTAGGAATCATCACCATGGATTCATCTTCCAACGATACCTTCAAAGGCATGGTGGGCGTCGCACCTGAAGCAACATTAGGTATGTACCGCGTCTTCGGCTGCTCCGGCGGCGTTGGCAGCGACGTACTCGTGGCCGCAATGATGCCCGCCGCCAGCGATGGAGCCCAGATCATCAGCATGTCTATCGGCGGTTTTTCCTCGGTCGGCAACTCGCCAAACGATCCTTACCACGTCCTGATCCAGAAGTAAACGGACAGTGGCATTGCTGTCGTGGCTGCGGGCAATGACGGGGCCAACCTCCCCTTTGCAGTCAACGCGCCTGCCAACAGCCCTGCTGCCATTGCAGTCGGCTCTATTGAAAACACTCTTTTCCAGACGTTTGAGCTGATTGATTCAAATGGCGAACACATTCGTTATGGAAGTCTTTACCCCTTTCCCCTGAACCGCACGCTAATGGCGGTGCACGTCGGCGATGGGGGCGTCCAGGGCAACCTCGGATGTCGGGCGGCGGACTATGATGCCATTGCAAGCAAAGTCACTGGTTCGAAGGAGAACTACGTGATCGTGGTTCAACGTGGACTTTGCGGCCTTTCCTTGATTCAGGATGTTGCAGCTACCGCAGGCTTCAACAACATCCTGACATATCCTGATAAGGACGTTCTTGACAATCCATTTTTGGAGGGATTCAGTGCAAGCTTGCCAAATGCTGCGCGTAGCTTCGGTATAACGACAAACAACAAGATTCAGGTTGGATCTCTGAAAGGCGGATACTCTGTAACGTTTCAAACTGCTGTTCCCCAACTCACACGACAAGCGTGGGGCGGCCAGATGAACAACTTTAGTAGTCCAGGTAGGCTCCCAAGTCGGAAGAGAGTGGAAAATGGGATATTCTAACCTTTATCTCCAGGACCTGTGTGGGATTTCAGCCTCAAGCCTCAGATCAGTGCCCCTGGCGGTCAAATTCTGTCGACCTGGCCCCTTGCTGCATCAGGATGGGCGCTGGCTAGCGGCACCTCAATGGCTACGCCGTACCTTTCTGGTGTTCTCGCACTCGTGAAGTCGCGATTTCCGGAACAATCAGTGACCGAGATACTCAACCGTCTCCAGTCAACCTCAAAGCCGACAGCTCGCGCCACCCGTAACGATGTTTCGCCTCCTGTTCATCAGGGAGCCGGCTTGGTCGACGCCTACAACGCGATCTTCTATCCTTCATTCATCTCGCCTGGCCAGTTTGATCTCGGTCCCAATGAGATCGTCGCCCGGTCCAGCTACTCTATCAATATTGCAAACCCGTCAGACAAAGCCATAAAGTATACCCTAGGTCACACCCCAGCTCCTGGCATGGCTCGCTACCCTAATCCGGACGTCTCCGACCAGGTCGGATTCTTCAGCAATGTCTATCAACGACTAGCCTCTCTCCCTTTCGCAGCAACTATCAACTTCCCAGAAGGTTCAATAGTCACTCTAGGTCCTGGTGAAAGCAAGACTATTTCCGTGGAGATCGTCCCGCCGCAAAACCTCCGAGCTTTCATGATCCCTTTCTACTCAGGCTTCATCTCCATCTCCTCTGACCATAATGAAAAGCTTTCTATTCCATACCAAGGGGCCGGGTACAGCTACACAGCTGCTCCAAGCTTGGGAACCGATCCTGGGCCGCCTAACGTCCTCATACCCGTTACCGAGTATCCCGCGTTTGGAGCTCCACAGCTTGTCACGTCTGACGGCTTCGGCATTCAGGACTACATCAAGATTGATCCCGCCGAGCTGACCCTTTACTATGCCGGAATGCAGCCTGTGCGGATCGAGAGGCTGGACGTCCATCGGGCAGACACAGACTTCAAGCCCAAGTGGTATGGATTCAATCAGAATAGACCTCTGAACTACACCAAGACAGCGCAGCCTATCAACGGCACAGTCGCCGGCGCCGAGTTATTGGGCAACCTGTACGTTAACTACAACAATGCGCCTGTGACTAGCTTGTTTGACTCCTGGCCTGTTCCAAGGTTGTGGGACGTCGAGACAGCGTCTGTCCCAATACCTATGTTGAAGGGCGGATACAGACTACTGATATCTCACTTGAAGTATGGTGCGGATGAGACTAAGCCTGAGGACTGGTCTACCTGGATGAGCGGTGTTATCGATGTTCCCGAAGATTACTACCCATAAGGAGATTATGTGGTCAACGAAATCGCACCCTACTCGATAGCAATTGTTGCCAACCGAATTTAATCCTCAATACTGTTTCCTGTCTCAGGCACGGGTGTATTGACACACGCGTTTCCCACTGTTATGTACCTGTACCGCCAGCATCAGACCATCAGATCACCAGCTCACATTGTAATGCGATTCGAGACAGGTGCTTCTTATTGCTGTTGTAAAACTGAAGTTAGGCATGAGAAGCATTCCTGGGGGCCAAAACACTCGATGCCGCAAGGCCAGCAAATGGTAGCTGTCGATGAAACAGCTGTTGGCCTGCTGTCCTCAAACTGCCGAGGAACTTGGATCGAGTTGTTCCAAAGCGGGAACTTCGCTATTCCCGGGGAAAGACTTCAGTGGTTAAACTTCCTTGTCCTGAACCTAAAAATAGTAGGGAAGCCGCGGGCCGTCTTAGCAGAGTTTACAGCTTTATATTGAGACATCCACAATATGCAGTGCGGCAGCATAAATAATGAAGATGATCTGACTCTGCGCTTATATGCGCGGTCAATCTTGGCCCGGCAGGCAGAGACCGCTCTAACTAGAATCCGATATGTTTGTGGTTTGTGGTGTGGCGAGTTAAATGTCCGGGAGTACAGTCTAGCGGCCTTTGCATGTTAAGGGTATCGGATTACGATTACTGCGTGTATGTACAGGTATGCTTATGCTATTTACATAGGTAACACATCCTCTTCAGTCCAGCCGCTGCACAGCATTGCGCAATCATCACCACCACCACCATTGCTGCTGCTTCTTGATCCATTTGTGGACCAAAGGAGCGATGTCGAGATTGTTCTTTTCAAGGTGCATGAAGTGGCCATTGCCCTTGATCCCAATTTCACTAAGCTTGATCCACTCCGGCTGGCCACCCACCTGCTTCAGATAATCGATGATACAGTGATCGTAAGTAATGTGGACACTGGCCTCTCCCGTCAAAGCCAGGTACGGTACGCTGGCGATCTTGGGAAGTTTTCGGACAGGTTCCTTTTGAAGGTAGCAGTTACGATGAGCTAACGACGGCTCACCCACAGATTCGACAGTGGCGTTGAGTTCCGCGGCGCTGGATACTGCCGGCTCGTAGTCGACAGGGGTGTTCGTCAGACCCCATGGATTAGCCGCAGTACTGGTCAGACCATAGCCGTACGCGCGAAAGGGGATCGTGGAGGGCTCAACATTGATGTTTCCGGCGAGATGCTGGGGACAATCATTGGAGATGCCGATAGCGAACTTGGAGCCCAGGGAGTGGGAGATGAGGTAAGACTGTGCGCCAATGAGGGAAAGAAGCTCACACCCAGCGGTGCGCATGGCTAGCTCTTGGGAGACCTGGCTGGTTGTGTATGGGATGAAGCTCTGCTGGAACTGGTCAAAGAAGGGATCGCCGCGCATACCCGTGCCGGGCCACTGGGTGTGAAGCTGAGACTGGGGGTAGGTGTTGTAGTTCTTGACGCCGGTGAAGCCCATCTCGACAAACTCGGCCGACATGCCTACGGCCATGGTGAAGTTGGCGGCGTTGTTGGCCGTGGATCGGCCGATGCTGTTAGCATCGACGAGGTAAACCTGGTAGCCTTGCTTCAGGAAGTAGGTCGCCCACCCGGGACGATTGTCAGGGGTATTGAGCCATGTGGTTCCCGGAATGCCGCCACCGTGGATGAAGACCAAGGGGGTCGAGCGTAGCGTGAGGATGGGGGTGAGCTTCTCGACGTAGAGCTGGCCGATGGTGATGTTGCCCGTGGGGTCTGGAGCGCTTTGGCCCCCGACGTAGAAGAATTCTCGACTGTGCAACGTCTCTGAAGGTCTGCACGTGGAGCTGACGGCGTTGACGCCGATGCAGCTACTGTCGGCACTTGAGGTGGCCGTGACCGTTGATGCGGCCAGCGCGAGGGCGGAGAAACCCGCAAATCGGACCATGATTCCTGTGGCTGGCGGGACGTTGAAGCAGTTTGACACACGCCAGACAACAGAGAAGAGGAGCGCGCTAGATGCGCACAGATTTATCTGGCTGGAACACACAAACAGGTCAAACGCGCATCATCATCAGACGAGTAAAGAAAAGGCGAGAACGGGTTCTAAAGCAGGGCTTGCGAACGAGAACTACTGTTAATATACGCTAAACGACCGGAGCTTGATTCGTTTCTGTGTTGGCTCGGATCAAGCCAAACAGGACTCTCCAAATTGCAAATATTGGAGCAACGAACTTTTGAACGCAATCTCGGGGAACTGGGCGAGACTGGGTCCAACACCGTGGAGAGAGAATGTTCCCCTCGACGGACCAGTTTCCCAACCGATCGCAAGCCAAGCCTCTGCCCGCAAGTCACCCCTTGCCAGTCCATCTGCACAAGGCAGAGGCGTGACGTGCTATAGAAGGGGGAAACCCCGGAACGCTGAGGAACCTCTTTTCAGAGTTTCTGACTGCAGCTTTGGGCTTGTCCGATCTTTGACGCCCAGGGCTCACCATTGGACCTGTGCCGCGAACTCGCAGGCCTTCCGGCGTTCGCGTCGCAAGGTAGGCTGCCGACGGCATAGGGTGAAGGAGGGGCCATGACTCGAGATCGCCTCACCCTCCACTTCAGCTGCACGCTCTAAGACAACCTTGACCTTGCGCTTAATTTATGAGCTGGATGGCCACCGCGGGCCTAGGTGGAACACGAGCCAAAACAGCGGCTCGTCTTTCCCAATACTGTTCCCCTCTGTTCACTGTTGTCGCGCAATTTTTGTAATGATACTAGGTACTACGGATAGACTGCGAGTCTATGAGTCTTCGACCTTTCAGCCCATCCCACGTTCCCGGGACTTAATCCACACCATATGGGGTTAACGCTAGCTAGGCCATCACTCATCAAGGAACCTGATCTTGATAACCACGATATGAAACCAACCTAGACTGCGCACCATGATACATCAGATTCTCCGCCATGTTGCTACCTTCCATCTGATCGAATCCATATCATAAAGCGGCCCGGCCTCCCCCCTCCCCATACGGGTGATCCGTTACCACGAGTCCGACCTGCCCCCGACCTCCAGTCCGAACCCCCTACCCTTCGCCATGTCGAACGCAACGACCTCAGCGAAGATTGGAAAACCGCCAAACAACACGAGGGACTACAACATCATCAGGGGTATCTACCGACAGTATGGCGTTACGACACTCGACCCTAGTTTGGGTTACCTCTTCGCCGCAAAGGAGCCCGCGAACGCCGTCCACGAGTCTAAGCAGGGCGCTATCATCGCAGGAATGATTATTGTCCTACTCGCCATCATCGTACCAACAGCAGGAAGACTTTGGGTTCGCGGACGGGGAGCACAAACCAAGTTTGGATGGGACGACTGGGTTATCATAGCGGCGGCGACTCTCGCAGTGGTATATCCGATACTGCAGATCCTCGTCGTCGTCGACGCAGGAGGCGGCACACACACCTGGGAGAACACGTACGACGACTACCAGTTCTACTCCTACTACCTCACCATCTGCCGACTTCTATACTACCCCACGGTCGGCATCATCAAGATATCCATCACTCTCTTCATCAGACGGCTCGTCGACACGGCGTACAGGACGTGGAGAATTCTTGCGGATATTTTCCTCGTCACGGTTGTTGCGTATGTCATTGCTGCCTTGTTCTGGAGCATCTTCCTTTGCAATCCGCCACGAGCTGTTTGGGACAGAGAGTTTGCAGGAGCCTTAGCAGAGCCAGCGACGTGTGGAAACCAGTTCCTCAGTGCGAAGGTCCTCAGCATCATCCACGTGGTGCAGAGTGTCCTCCTCCTCGCAACACCAATCATTATCTTGTGGAGCATTCGTATTGATAGAGGGAAGAAGATTAGGCTCTTCATCATCTGGGCTGCGGGAGGGCTGACCGTCACTGGCGGTCTGTTGCAACAGCTGCAGCCATTCACGTCAACTGACATTTTTTGGGACTACACCATCATCCTGAGATGGACGGTGCTCGACATATCCATGGGCATCGTGACGGCCTCACTACCGGTGCTTGACGCGGCCATCATGGGATCGTGGCATGCGGCGAAATCTACACTTGGGCTCTCCAATCCAGACAAGCAGAACAGCAGGGGGACGAAAGGTACCAGAGGAACAAACGTCGAGACAATCAGTTCCGGGCCACGAAAGAATTATGCCAGCTCGGCCGAGAACATCGTCGGCAAGGACGACAGCCTTGAGATGGACGTTATTCAACACAACGGACCCGACGATACGGGTGACAATCACTCGATTCCAGACACTACGGGCCATGATAGACGGCACAGGGTCAATAACATGGTATGAAGAAACGATCTAGATGATAGAAGTAACATAGTGTAATCGATAGACATAGAAAATTTGTCAAAACACCATTGCTATGCAGATTCCAACCAGAATCCATCGTTCATCACATATTCACAATCACGGCCAATTCCTAAGTCCCCGAAATCCCGACCAGATGTGAGGCGTCAGATGTATGCGCAGAACCGGACCTGGCAGCATCCCGAGAAAACACCCCTGCTCTGTCGTAAGCGAACCCCAGAGACAATTTTGCATGGGCATCATGGGCTCCACGGCTGCCCTCGATTGCCCCCAAAGACTGGCAGAAAAAGCCTGCGCAAATCTTTTGATACATCCCTGAGGCTTTTCCTCGCGAGCAGATTGTCGATCGCCTTGTCCGTGCTTGTTTGAACTCCCAGTCGTAATGTGGGCGTGCCGCGCGTGGATGGGTCCCTGATAAACCGCGGCCGAAGACCCATTTTACCAGGAGACAATGACTCGAACCTAGTTGTTTTTGCTTTTCGATCAGGACTGACCCGAGAACCAGGAATCAATTGACATTTGCCGGACCGGCGCCGGTTCCACCATTAACATCGACGGCCTTAAGTACGTGCGCTGGACTAGGTTAATTAACCACCTAGCACTGCAATTTGAAGGCAATTTCTATATCAGCTCCGGGCGCCTCATGCTGACGGAAGATTGCCAGGAGCGCGGA